TCTTTTATAATGGTCTTATTACTTCAGAAATATTTCTAAAATATAATAAAATACAACCTTGACAAAGTTGAAATACAATAGAACCTTGATAAAATTTAAAATAAAAATTGAGAAATCCACAGTAGCTGAAGCATTGAACACTCATTTAGTAATCAATAGAATACATAATCATCAAATCAGTAAGCATATTGAAGTCTGGAACAAATCAATACTCTCAGCTTCTGTCTTGAGGAACTAGAATAAGAAAAAACAACAAATCAAGCAAAAGAATAAAATTTAAAGCAGAAAGTAGTGAAATTGGAAGTAAAAAGAGTGCTAGATGGTTTTGCTCAGGAGATAGAGCATCACACTGCAGACTGAAGGATCCGGGTTCGATTCCAGTCAAGGGCACATACCGTGCATACTTTATGACAGGGATAGTTTTTCAACAGAGAAGATGAGTAGGAAAAATAATTTAAAAGGCCATACTTATTTTGCACAAAACACAAAGTACATATTTCTTTTTTAAAAGTCCACTATCACCACTATGATGACCACCACCAAGTAGTAAGATTCTAAATATCCTATATAATAAAAAGCTAATATGCAAATCAACCAAATGGCAGAAAGACCAGTTGCTAGGACACACACTGGCCACCTGGGGGCAGATACTCAACACAGGACCTGCCCCCTGGTAGTCAGTGTGCTCCCACAGGGGGAGCGCCGCTCAACAAGAAGCTGGGCTCATGGCTGGCGAGTGCAGTGGCAGAGGTGGGAGTCTCTCCTGCCTCCACTGCAGTGCTAAGGATGTCCGACTGAAGGCTTAGGCCCACTCCCCTGGGGAAGCGGCCATAGCCTTCAGTTGGACATCCCCCGAGGGCTCCTAGACTGTGAGAGGGAATAGGCCGGCCTGAGGGACCCCCCTAAATGCATGATTTCGTGCACCAGGCCTCTAGTTATACATAAATCTCCTGAGAATGTAATTTTAAGAAAAACAATGGCAAGACAATTTAGTCTATTATTTGTTTCAGACAAAATTTCTAATCACATGTACATGTGTTTATGTATATGTGTATATATGTACAATGAAGTAATTAATGATAAAAACAGCTTCAGTGTGTTATTAAAACATTAATGATACATATTTGTTTGTAGAGTTTGTTTAAAAAACCATACTTTTAAGTTCTTGGTGAAGCCAACTAAAAAAAAATAAGTACAAATTTATACAATTTTGAGATTGAAGCTAGTGTTAAAATGTAAATAAGTCCAGCTGGAGTGGCTCAGTGGCTGAGAAATGACCTATGAACCAGGAGGTCATGGTTCCATTCCTCATCAGGGCACATGTCCAGGCCAGTTCCTGGTGGGGTGGCATGCAGGAGGCAGCCAATCAATGATTCTCTCTTGTCATTGATGTTCTGTCTCTCTCTCCCTGTTCCTTCCTCTCTGAAATCAATAAAAAATATATTTTTAAAAATTAAAAATAAAATGTAAAAAAATGTGTCCTCAGAGACATTGTCATTTGTATTATATTCATCTAATATATCTACTGTTCTTTGTGGAGAGAGCGAAATCAGAATTATTGCATTTTTAATAGAAAAACACATTTATACTAATAAAAGGATAATATGCTAATTAGACTGTATAGACCAGACATCTTCTGGATGTCATTCTGGACATCCTTCCTGACAAATAGGGGATGTAGTCAGCCTGCAAACCACCCACGGTCCCTCACCCAGGCCAACCCCACCCCCCAGCGAGTACCCCCACCCTGATGGGGGTGTGGATAGCCTGCAAACCGCCCACAGTCCCTTGCCCAGGCCAGTCCCGCCCCCAGCAGTGACCCCCACCCTGATCGAAGCCCCTTTCAGGGCAGGCCAGCTGGCCCCCACCTGTGCACCAGGCCTCTTTCCTATATAATAAAAGGGTAATATGCAAATTGACCCTAATGGCAGAATGACCAGAACAACTGCTGGGCCAGTCACTATGAGGCACACTGACTACCTCTTAGTACCTTTCCTTGGCCAGCAGGCTCTGATCACCTGATGGCCACCCGCGGCGGGGGCAAGGCCAGCGAGCGGGCAGGAACAGCTAACCTCTTGGTCCCTTTCTCTGGCTGTCAGGCATCAATCACCCAATGATGAACGGGAAACTGGGGGTAGCTGGCAGCAGGGGGTGGTGCCAGCTGCAGGCAGCTGGGGAAGATGGCCCTGATGGCAGGCCAGGCCTTGGGACCATACCCATGCATGAATTTCATGCACCAGGCTTCTAGTATTTAATATTTGCAAATGGCAATTGACTTACAAAAATGGATCTTCAAAGCTATAAAGCTTAGAAGATAATCCAAGTTTATTGACTTCAAATATGTTGACTCTAACAGGTTTTCTGAAACTATACAGTGCTTAAAATTATACTCTGCACTCCTCAATTCAGTCAATCAAGAAAGCCTTAGATTTTCAATTAGAAGTGATCAAATTCTACTATAGAATTTAGGGCTTCATATAATCTGAACAAATGGGTTCATAGAGATGACATTCTTAAATGACTAGAAGTACCAAATATTAAATTTAAAAAGGTAAGTGGGGAACAAGAGCAAACTTGTTATGTAGCTATGATTCCTAAATGAAAATGGAAAATGTAGTCGAAGAAAAATATTAAAATAATGCTTGTACTGATATGAGAATGAAAGATATTGAAGAAATATGCTAGTTCTCTATTTTATTTAACAATCCTGGTTTGTTGTGTTATATTCTTACAAATGTAAAGCATACTGCATAGTGGCATCTACTGGCAACATTGTCACATATACGCCTCATTTCCTTTCTATCCTGGTGTCATTGTGAATGACACATTTCAATTTTTTTGTCTACATAAATATATTTCTATGATGTCAAAAAGTAGATTTTAATGTAGTGATTATATTGGATGTATAGTATTTTATTATATTAATGGGGCATTAACCAACTTCTTATTTCCTCATTTATGGACATATGTCATTTCTAATAATGTGGACCTCAGATATAGCACTACTATGAACATTCTCTATGGTAAAGTTTTCCCACAACATGAATTTTTTTCTTTGTTCTGAATCACTCTCTTTGCTTTGACTTTTCTATCTCTATCTATATAATGAAGGCTAATGGTGAAGCAAATATAAATAATCTTTTCCTCTTCCCTATAGTCCCACTTGCCTCTGATCACCAGTGTAAATAATTTTTATGCTCATATAAATTAAATAAACACATTGGCATGTATTTTTTGTTGTTTTTGTCTTATCTTTCTCTTGCTCTTATTCTTCTCATTTTCCTTTTTAATGTGTCCACTACTAAGCAATTTGATTTTTCCCCCTAAACAATGAAATAGAACTTTCCTTCTAGCTCATTCTTTAAAGGATTCTCTCTTTAAAATGCATAGACTTATAACTACCCAAATGGGGAGGTGGTTATATCAAAAGGCTACACAGTAGAATAAGATTATTTTATTTTAATAGAATGGATACAAGCATGAATAGGATACTGTATACATCCATATAATATTTTTTCATATTTGCTTATTAAATGTGATGTTCAAACATAAATGGTTAATACATTTTCCTTTCCCCCACTTATCTGAACCCTGATCCAATTCAACATAATTAGATTTTTAATTATAGAATCAGTAAGTTAACAAAGTAAAAATTACTTATAATGCAGGCAGAAAATCAATAGGAGATATATTTTTATTAAATCTCTGCTCTCTTTATTTCTGACTTTATTGAGTTCTTTGAATGTTATGATATTCTTTTTTGGCAATTAACCTTGTATTTCACATATTAGAAGGCAAATGTGGTATATTTTTATAATTACTTATAAAACCATTGTATCTGGACAGGACATAAAAGAATGGAAAACTTATGACAGTTTATATCTGTGGTATCTTCTATGGTTTCAAACAGACTGGCTCAAATATGCATTAGTTTCTATGAGGTTATGACCCCAGTGAGAAAGAGTCATATGTTTATTTTTGTCCATGTACAATATCTATTTGTACCCACTTCAAATATGGGGCTTTTTTATGTGAGTCCAATAAATAGTAACAGGTAGTTTGTGTTCATGGCTACCCACTCATATTTCTGTGAATAGAAATTGTTTTTACTTAAAAAAAAAAAAGTCTGGGAGGGGGATGGTGTTACCCAAAAAACTTAAGCCAAACTTTCAATAACTGGATATATAAATGTTGTTATAGGATTTTTATCTTCAAATGCCATTTCTTATAAGATGTCATTTAAATCCACCTTTGATTAACAGGTATCTGTTATTTCCAGTATTATTCCTTTTCTTATTCAACTGGTTACCTAGCCTCTTAGTTTCCATACACTTTATGTCTTCCTTCACTACATTCTCAATCCTCAAGAGAATTTTCGATATAGACTACTCAATTGTAATTTTTTATGACAGTGGCTTTTCTTAATTTGTTTCCAGAGTGATGGAATATTACTTGCCCAAATAAATTCTATTAAAAGACTTGTTGTGTCTTGACCAGTGTTCCAAAGTGGTTAGAGCATCAGCCTGGGCACCAGAGGATGGCGTGTCAAGGCCATGTACCTGGGTTGCAGGTTCTATCCTCACCCCTGGTCAGGGCATGTGCAGGAGGCCACCAATTGATGTGCCTCTTTCACAACAATGTCTCTCTCTCTCTCTCTCTCTCTCTCTCTCTCTCTCTCTCTCTCTGTCTCTCTCTCTCTCTCTCTCTCTCTGTCTCTCTCTCTCTCTCTCTCTTTCCCCCCTTCTGCAACCCTCCTATTCTCTCTAATAGGAGAGAAATATGGAAAAATGGAAAAAATATCCTCAGGTGAGGATTAACAACAGCAAAGAAGGCTTGTTGTACACTATTTAAGTAGGGACAGTTTTTATTTTTGCAAACCTATTAGAAATATATAAAGTTGTTGATTCACATGTCCTCTGTGGTTTTTACCAGAGTAAATTAGTATCATACAACTGTATGCAGCTGCCCCTTCTTAGGCCAGGTCTGACCTTCTCCTCAAGTCTAAGGGGTTAGTGTCAGAAATATCTATTCATTCATCTACCGACACTTCTGTGGGCTCCCCTTTACCATTCAGACAAGGAACTCATCCGGCGGCTCCACAATGTCAAATGCTTCAGACTCTGAACAACCTCCAGGTACTGCTATTTTTTTTTTTAATCCAAATGTTCCATACCATTTTACTAACTGAATATTTATTTAAATACCTAAAGTAAAATTTTAGTAACTTTTGTGTATTGTCACCGCTGGTTGCAATTATAGTAGGGGCATAATTGTCAGATATTTTCTTTAGTGTTTCCAGATATGCTTGAAAGAGTACTTCCATAGATAATTAGCAGAAATAATTATCTATTTCTTGGCTAGATCTAAAATGTAATCCATTAGTTTAAGTAGTTTAAGGAGGGCTAGCTGGGCTGTTGGGTAGAAACGTGATGTGTCTTTTTTTACTACTAGTATATTCATATTCCTATCGAACTTTAAAAATAGTAATAACCTCTTAATATTTTACAAGTGCAAGAGGGGTCCTATTTTATTTTATTTTATTTTATTTTGCTTACTTTTTTTTTTTACCACTTTTTAAAAAATTGTTGCCAGTATTACAGATATCTCCACCCCCCTGCATTTGCCCTCTTTCACCCCCACTTCACCTGATGCCTTCTTCACACTACTGTCTGTGTCCATGGGCTGTGTATATATGCCTATATGTTCTTCATTTAATCTCTTCCTGTCTCCCCTCTCATTTGAGATCTGTCAGTCTGTTCCATGCTTCCATGCCTCTGGACCTGTTTTATATAGTCAGTTTATTTTGCTCACTAGATTCCACATGTGAGTGAGATCATGTGATCTTTCTCTGACTGGCTTATTGTACTTAACATAATAATCTCCGGGTCCATCCATGCTGTCGCTAAGGGTAAGAGATCTTCCTTTTTTAAAGTTGCATAGTATTCCACTGTGTAAATGTAACACAACTTTTTTATCCACTCGGTCTAAAATAATTTGCTTTATAAGGTTAGACATTAATAACTTACTTTCTATGTTAAAGAAATCACAGAGCAGACAGAGATAATCCCTATTGCGGACTTGGAATCGCCTCTTCCCCTTCCTCCCCCGCCTCCTCCTCCAGAGGATGAGTGGGACCCAATTCCTGAGCACAGCAATAGGAATGGTAAAGTATATATACCACATTTTATTAATTTGTGTTCTCTCTGTGTTAGCTTAGGCTACCTATTTCCCCTGGTTTTACTTTTCTCTAAGTTGTTACTATTTGGGTATTTTAAAATTTAGAGAAAATATCGAGCTTACATTTTTTCCCCAAAACATATGTAAAAATAAACAAAACCATATATTCTCACAGACATGTTTGAAAAGTTCATATATTAAGGAGCATATTTAAAGATAAAAGAAACCATTTGTCCAAATATAGATCTGTTTCCTCACGTGAAACTGGGATACAAATGTGCTTGAAGTTTAAATTTCAGTAAAATTGTAAAAAGTCAGTAAAATGCTGAGCCCTACTATACAATTGCCTCCTTTTGACCATAATTAAGCTTAACATCATTTTGTAGAACACAGTTTCTCAATTCAGCACTACTGATGCTTTGGGTTAGATAGTTCTTTGTTGGGGGGACTGTCCAGTGATTACAGGATGTTTAGCACCATTGCAGGCTTCTACCCACTAGATGCCAGTAGCACTCACCCATTAGTTATGACACCAACAATGTCTCCAGACATTTACCATGTCTCCTGGGGACAAAATTATCTTTGGTTGATAGCCACTAAGCTATATTATCCAGCAAGTTAAAAAATGAGTTAGACATTAATTATGAATATAACCACTCTCTTTGGTGGGAGCTTTTCATTTTGTTTCAAAAGTATAATTCTTCAGAAATATAAGGAAATACCTTTATGCACTAGAATTTATAAATTTATGTCAGATGGAATAATAAACATATCCCCCGAAAAAGACTATTAACAATAATGTCTGAAAGTTTAGTTTCTGGAGTGTGGGGATGTAGCATATTTTTATGAAACTGAATAAATTATAGATGTTGGTAGTTCTATAGCCAAATATCATTCAGTTAAGATACTACCTAAGATTTACAGTAATTCTTTATGAGGAGAATATACTACTAGTCATTAAGTTCTAATAATTCTATCTTAAAAACAACATAGATTTAAATACTTAAGCATTTCCCCCATCTGATTAAATTAATGAGGATAATGCTAACTGAACTGAAATTTTATGCCTGGTATTTAAGAATATTTAATAATACCTGTATGCAAAATTTTCATCTGTGGTGGAAGTCCTCAAGACCGCACTCAGGTTTATGATTCTCTAAAAGCATTCATAGAACTCAGTATATTGCTGTACATTCAACTTAGGTTTATGACAGTAAAAGGGTAAAAGCAAAATCACCAAAGGTTCGTGAAGTGCCGGGAGGCCAGGCTCAAGTTACCAAGGACCCTCTCCCAGTAGAGTCAGGTCTTGTGAATTCCTCTAGCAACACGTATGTCAACACATGTCACATGCTGCCCACCAGGGAAACTCACTGGAGAATCAGTGTTGAGTTTTGATCTGGAGCTGCTCACACAGGCAGCCTCAGGTTGGCATGTAACAAAGTTCCAGATTTCCAGAACGGAAGCAGTTGTTCAGCACAAAGTATATTGCTTGCAGAAACAGTTTAAGCCCAGTGAGCCATTCTTATCGCTTAATTGTGATGGGAACGCTCCTGAAACTATTTGCAGATGCCAGCCGAGGCCATCTTGTCAGCAGGCCTTGTGGGACAACAGTCAGGTCCATCATGTTAATTCTTGGCTGCACATCCTCTTAACTAGGTTTTTTTTCCTCTTTTCATTCAGCCTAATAGTTCATAGTAATTCACTCATTGGACATCATCCTTCAGAAAATTCAGGATATTTTTGAAACAATAATAAATGAAAAATATTGACATTAATCTTTCAAATAGTAGGAGCGGACATTCTCTCTGATTATCTCTCACTGTGTTTCTTAGCTTCTGCCTTCCCCTTTTCTGTATATGGAATCATTCCAGTGGTCCTGGGAATCTTCAGCCTGCTGCTCTTGATGTTATGTGGATTCTTTGGTTACCAATGTAAGTTTGATTTATTTGGGGAAAAGAAATAATAGCCTATTTGTTAGATTATCATATTGCTTTAAACTATTTCCAGATCCCAGTTTTTGGTAAATGTATTAATGCCATGCTGAATAGAGAACAGGGAAAAAGACATTAAATTATCACAACATTTTCCTATTTTAGTGAATTTAACTTTGTGAGCTCTCAACTGCACATTTTTTTTCTAAGGAGGATATATTATTGCAATACTGCTTAAGATATTCATAGCAATGATTACTTATCATTATTTTGAAAATTACAACTTACTAAGAAAATTTAGCTCAATGCATTTGCAATTGTCTTAACTATGAAAATAGAAAACTTCTTTGACAATTTATTCCAATTGTCCATGCCATCAACAATCTATCTTAGATCAATAGAATGTTTTTATTATTAAAATCATTTGCCATCTGTTATTAAAAAATAGTAGTTTCTCTGGGATAACATTAATTTGAAACTAAAAATTTTATACTTTTGCTTATGAAGTAAAATTCTACATATTAAATCAACCGGACATGATGTTAAAAGATTTGAGATGATTTTTGTTGTTTTTGTCTCTTTTAATTGAGCTGAACAGTTTTTTTATTGATAGAAACACATTCAAACATAAGAAATTAAGATTATATTTTAGAGTTAGACTAGATTTTAGAAGTAATGGTGGATAAATTAAAATTCCCTTAGCTAAATATCATTTATAGTTTTCAAAGACATTCCTGTGGGAATTTATTAAGGAGGAAACTGTAACAATTCAACATCTTATTCTAATATGCTACTGTTTCATAATTGAGTATATGCTTATACTTATTTGGAATTCTTGTCCTTAGACTTTCAAAGTATTCTGGCATCTGAGAAAAAGATGAAGGATCTTAACCAATGGATTGAGTCTTTCCAAGACAAATCAGAAAGGTTTCTTCAGATCCAAAAAGTTCTTTACCAAAATAAAGGTAATATCAGAACTAGAACACACTCTCTTTACAGAATGCTGGATTGTTTTCCTTGTTGCAGCCCTAAAATGGTTCATCGCTAATGTAGCAGCATGGTAGTTTTAATGGCTTCTTGTCTCTTTAATTCTTCATGCCATCTTCTGAAACTGTCTCACATGTATCAAAAATAGCTTCCTATATTAATTAATTGGCTCATTAATTCATTTATTTATCACATTTATTCAATGCGCACTAGATGCCCACAACTAGGCTGGTGGTCAAAAATAAATGCAGTCCTGGCAGATGTTGCTCATTGGTTAGAGAGCATTGGCCACACACGGAAGAGCCTCAGGTTCTATTCAAGCTCAAAGGCACATATCTGGGTTGGAGGTTGTTTCCTGGCCCTGGTTGAGGCTTGTGAAAAAGGCAAGCAATCTGTGTCTCTCTCACATACATCTCTCTCTCTCTCTCCCCCTCCTTCCTTCTCTTCCACTCTATCTAAAAGCAATGGAAAAAGCCTGGCAAGCGTGGCTCAGTGGTTGAGCATTGACCTGAACCAGGAGGTCAAGGTTCGATTCCTGGTCAGGGCACATGCCTGGGTTGCAGGCTCAATCCCAAGTGGTGTGTGTGTGTGTGTGTGTGTGTGTGTGTGTGTGTGTGTGTGTGTGCAGGAGGCAGCCTATCAATGATTCTCTCTTATCATTGGTGTTTCTATCTCTCCTTCTTCCTTCCTCCCTGAAATAAATAAATATATATTTTTTAAATAAATAAAAACAATGGAAAAATATCCTCAGGTGAGGATAAACAAACACATACATACATACATACATACATACATACATACATAAAATATGAACCCAGCCCTTAGGAGGCTTAGAGAAAACATGTAAACCAAAAATAAAATGTCAAGGCCAGCAGTTGTGCAAGATGTTCATGGAGCATGAAAATGGAAGAACTTAAATATCTGAAAAGTGATCATGTTTTCACAGTTTCTGTATGCCTCCTAAGGAAAGAAATTTAAAATATTGGAGTAATCTGAAAGCTACTTTTATGTTAATTAAATTGGAATATAAAAATAGTCTATGTTTATGATAAATATTTTACAGAGGACTTGCATTAAAATATTATTTTTTTCTTGTGATGTATCAAACCTATATTGAAAAATTAAATCAACCATTTGAGAGTTCTTTAGTGACTATGCATGTTAAAAGACGGGTTTTGTTTGTGTTTTAGTTGGGATAAGATTGACGTATAATGTACAAGTTTGAGAAGTACAATGTGTTGGTTTGATACATTTATATATTGCAATATGAATTCTACAGCAGTATTAGCTAACACCTTTATCCTGTCACGTAATTATCATTTATTTTTGTGTTGAGAACGATTAAAATCTAGTCGCTAAGCAACTTTGAGTTTATAGTACAATCAATTATTTCAGCCAGAGATGAAACTAATTCTGTAGGAAAGGGAACTGGACTAAAATTATGTCCATATTTTTCCACTTGATCCTTATCATTATTGTGATTCTTGAAATAGTAAAAATATCAGATGTAATGTGTTTTCTCATCTAATATTTAGTCTTGTTGTCCTGTATAGAAACCCTTGAACAGCTCCAAAAGGAGAATGAGTATATTATTGAGGCTTTGGAAGAACTAAATGCAAAACAAGGTAATTTGGAAGTGAGATAATTCTGAGTTGATGATAATCCTATATAATAAAGAGGTAATATGCAAATTGACCCTATGCCCTTGTGTCATCACAAGATGGCCACCCCACATCATCATAAGATGGCCACCCCCATGTTGTCACAAGATGGTTGCCACAAGATGGCTGGCAGGGGAGGACAGTTGGGGGCAATCAGGCTGGCAGGGGAGCAGTTAGGTGTCAATCAAGTCTGTAGGGGAGTGTTTAGGGGGTGATCAGTCTGGCAGGCAAAAGTGGTTAGGGGAAATCAGGCAGGTACACAGGCGAGTGATTAGGAGCCAGCAGCCCCAGATTGTGAGAGGGATGTCCCAGATTGGAGAGGGTGTAGGCTGGGCTGAGGGAAACTCCCCACAGTACATAAATTTTGTGCACTGGGCCTCTAGTCCTATATAATAAAAAGGTAATATGTAAATAGATGGAACAGCAGAACAAACAACCAATCAAAGTATAATATGCTAATGACATGCTAAGGATGCTCAACCACTTGCTATGACCTTGCACTGACCACTGGGGGGGGGGGGGGCGGGGCAGACAGTCAACTGGTCAACCAGTCGCTATGATGTGCACTGGTCACCAAGGAGCAGATTCTCTGACCAGTAGGTTAGCTTGCTGCTGGCATCTGGGCGATCAGTACTGAACCAGATGGGCTGGACACGCTCTGGAACCCTCCCATGACCCCTCCCCAGCCCAATCATGCACCGGTGGGGTACCCTCAGCCTGGCTGCTCCATCTCGCAATCTGGGACCCCCTTGGCAGATGTTGGATAGCCGGTTTCAATCCAATCCCATAGGCCACTCCCCTTGGGTGGGTGCCAAACACAAGGCTCATGATGGCTGGCGAGCACTGCTATGGCAGTGCGAGTCTTTCCCTTTCAGGACTGATTGGGCATGAGCCCGTGGCAGGCACAGTGGGGCCAGGATGAGTGGGAGTGGCAGGTCAGAACTGTAGGTGGTGTTGAACTGCAGGTTTTTGCCCAATCCCTGCAGGCCACCCAGAGGGATCCCACCCATGCATGAATTTGTGCACTGGACCTCTAGTTCTTAATAACAGCTTCATTCTTTTTTTTTTCTTTCTTTTTTTTTAAGAATGTGGTTAAAGCCTGTGGGGCAGGGCAGTGTGGAGGGAGGTGAAGTGTGGCAGGGAGGCGGGGGACACTTCTAATAGAGCCAACCGCATTCTTTTAAGAGGGAGAAGCTATGAAGCAGTAAAGCCTTGTTTGTGAGGTTCTGTGGGCGCTGAGTAATAAATCTTTTCTTTCCTAGGAGACTGCTGTGGGTCTCTGCATCACTGGGTGCAACACAGAGACTATTGCTACCACCAAAGCATAGAAATGGTTTCTTGGTTAAACTGTTCTGATCTTTGTGTCACTTTGAATGCTACATTTTTAAAGACCGGAAGGAATAGATTGAAGGTGAGATTGCATTTCATTCTCTATTTCTGGAACATGAACAAACAACAGATACCAGTCGAAAAGAAGGGCTCAGCTGTAGATCTAAAACCCAGGATAAAGGATATTTTCTTGTTTAATTTTTTACTACTCTTTCCTGGTGTGTCCACTTCAGCACACTTTTCTTTTTCGTCGTAACACACATACCCTCCCTGCAGAAACCTAGCAGTTATGTTCCTCTGCATGCATTGTGCTTTCAGACATAACCATCACTAACTACTTCACCTCCTTCAATATTTATTCAGTATCACCTAACCCAGTGATGGCGAACCTTTTGAGCTCGGCGTGTCAGCATTTTGAAAAACCCTAACTTAACTCTGATGCCGTGTCACATATAGAAATTTCTTGATATTTGCAACCATAGTAAAACAAAGATTTATATTTTTGATATTTATTTTATATATTTAAATGCCATTTAACAAAGAATAATCAACCAAAAAAATGAGTTCGCATGTCACCTCTGACACGCGTGTCATAGGTTTGCCATCACTGAAACCCAACAGTGCTTTTTAAAATTGCAACCTGCGTATCATGTCCACTGCACAGCCCAGATATTCTCCTCTGTAATCCTCTTACCCTGCTCTAATTTTTTATAGCACTTGTCACCTTTTTACAGACCATATTATTCATATGTTCCTTTATTCCTATCTGGCTGACACCCTCACTGGAAGCAGGAATTTTTCTCATTTTTACTCAATGATATATACCAAGCTCAAAGAATAGGCACCGAGTTTAATGAATGATAAAATGAGTTAAGAAAGGTAATTCTTTTTTGGTGTATTGTTATCTTAATTATAATATTTTCTTTCAGTTATTTTGTTTCTTCTTTTTATTGAATTCCTGGTTTGAGAAATGTACAGATTTTTGGTGTTTCATTTGTCAGTGGCATATATTGACTCATTGTTTTTACTTTTATGATTATTTCTCACTTGACACAAGTTCATTATTTTTATCCCTAAATGCAATTTTACTGTTAATACCTTTGTGTATTTTGGGTCCATGCAGAATATCATGAAGCTACTTGCAGTGAATCAGACTTGGCTTGGCCTCTCTTATAAGAAAGCAGACAATGAATGGAAGTGGGAGGATGGCTCTTCTCCTTCTCCTGACCTGTAAGTATATAATTCAATTCCTTGTTCCTTTTTTTCAATGTCTTTCACTTAAAGAGCTGAAGAAAATAGAGATGATTACTGGGAGTAGAATTTAGACCTTTTTTATTTCTTGCTTTCATTATTTCATATTATACTGTCAGCAACTTTACAAATTATAAAGTCATTTATGTGTTTCACAGTTTGTATAAATATGCCTCAAATATTAGATGCTCTGATTGATCACTATTTTAGATAATGAATATAATATAGGGAGGAACTTCATTATATATGAATTTTGGGACATCTCTAGTATTTTATTGGGGGAGAGGTACAGAACTGCTATTCCTCAGCCAAAGAATTTGGGCCTTTTTATGGTTTCAAGTACATACTGCTAAATTGTTATCCAAAAACATTGCATTAGACAACTATGACTGTATATACATGATTCTCTCTCTCTCTCTCTCTCTCTCTCTCTCTCTCTCTCAGTATACATATACTATATATACTATATATATACTATATGTATACTATATATACAATAGTATATATGTTGTGACACTATATATGTGTATTTATATATATATTACCAAGCTGTTTCATGACTCTGTGACAATTTTATTTAATATGTCAAAGTTTTAATAATTTTGATAGCTGATTGACTTAATTTTGTTCTCTTAGGGTATTTATGAAGCTGTTTTTCCATTTATATATAATAAACACACATATTATATATAACTAGAGGCCTGGTGTATGAATTTTTTCACGGGTGGGGTCCAGTCGGTCCACCCCAATCAGGGCCAATTGGGTCAGGCTGGCCTGTGGGAGGGGCTGTGGGCAGTTGACCGGCCAGTCCCCCTGATCAGGGACAGGGCTGGCCAGAGGAAGGGGCTGTGGGCTGTTGGCTGGCCAGCCCTGCTCCCTGGTTGAACTCCCAGCCGAGCTCCTGATTGAGGGACAATTTGCATATTAGCCTTTTATTATATAGGATATTCTAAACTTCATGAGTAATAATTTTAGCTGACTTTTATATCTAACTAGAGGCCTGGTGCACAAATTCATGCACGTGTGAGGTCCCTCGGCATTGGCTGGCAATCAGGGCCAATCGGGGCTGCCTCGCCCAGTCCTGATGGGAGCAATTGGGGCCAGCCGGCCAGGAGGAGGGACTATGTGAAGTTGGCCGGCCACGGGAGGTTGGCTGTGGGAGTGCACTGACCACCAGGGGTCAGCCCCCGCATTGAGCGTCTGCCCCCTGGTGGTCAGTGAGCAGCATAGCAACCAGTCGACTGGTCGTTTAGTCAACTGTCATAATGGTCGCTTAGGCTTTTATATATATAGATGCAATGTATTTCCAAGTAAAATGTCCTTCCTTCAACTGTTGCTGTGCATGCAGAGTTGAGGGGTTTCTATCACGCTGATCTGTACTTAAACTTCATTTTATAACCCAGGTCTTTGGTGCTGTTTTTCATGCTACTGACGTAATTTTGCAGGCAGACCATTCTCTTTCTCTTTCTACAGGTGTATATTTTCCCACTTATAAATAATTATCACATTTTGTAAGTTTACCTATTGTTTACATGTCTATCTCATCTCTTCTAAAATGTATGAATTCTTTGAAAAGAATTCACTTCCTTGAGTTCCCCACAGCACCTGGCATAATAAATTTCACATAATATGTCCTTAAGTAATGCTATTTAATTTGAATACAGTGAGTATGGCCAGTGACTAATATTTTCTAAATTTTATAGGGGTTTACCAGAGCCAAGTCCAGATTTCCAGGGGAAATGTGTGTATGCAAATGCACATACCATTGGTTTTGATAACTGCACCAGGTCCTTTTCATGCATGTGTGAGAGGGCTGCCCACGAATAAATCAGAAGAAGAATGCAAAAGAAGAGCTGTGAGGTTTGAATCTCCATAATATTCCAGATTCAAGATTTGCCTGTCGTTAGTCTACTGTTATTTCGTGTTATTTGTAAATCTTTTTTTTCATGGCACAAAGAGATAAATGAGTTTATGATAGAAGGACACAGGGTGTACGATCATAGCAAAAATATCATGGTAGCCCAGAAAACTGAAATTTCAGAGCTTCTTTGTTTTGTGAAAATTGTATAACAGTTAATAAACATTTCATTCATCATGAATAATTTTGGTTTCTTTTTTATATTTCAAATTTTATTTATTCATTTACAATTGCGAATTCATGGAAACAAAGCTTCAAAACAAATTCAATGAGAAATATGTGATAATTTTACATTTACAAAGAATGGCAAACAAAGAAATATCAAAGGTATCACAAAGAAAAATATCAAAACATAAATTTACTTAAAACAAATTTCTGAAGTAACTCATTTTTTAAGTTGTTTGCAAGAGGTCTTCCTAGAAGATTTTATAATATGTCAGTTTCATTACATCTTTAATTTCTTGCTTTTCATCTTAGTGGATAAGATATCTTTCGTGTCAGAGGCTACTTTTAAATGGACTCTGGTTCTTTCCTCTCATCCCACTTTGCTTCAAGTTTTTGTTACACTAACTACCCCCTTCACATACATTCAATCACTTTCATTTAAAAAGCCTTACCTTCAAGACATGAACATACCCATACATCTCTCCCTATCCCTTTAAACTCCTCTTCTAATTACCCCTTTTATAAGTTTCTCTTCAAAGTAAATGTACTTGAACAAAGAATCTACAATGGTTATGTACTTCCTCCCTTTCCAATCATTACTCAGAACTCTGTTACACATCTTACCTTTCTTCTCTTTTTTCAATCCATTTTGGCTGAAATGCAATGTAAGGAAAGACTGAAAAGCATTAAAGAAGCATTTATGGCTTCATGCTGTTTAGCCACGAGAAGGAGTTTGTAGTTGTCAGGAATCTACTCAAGTCTTTTAGGCAGAGAATAGATAAGATTTATTTCATCCTGGGGTAGTGGATATGCTTTGGGAAAATTGAAACTGCACATGCTTTTTGAAACTGACTTTAACCTGAGGTTGTTTATTTTCAGAAGAAGAAATCCACTCCAGGGGAATTCCAGTCATTTTATTCATATCTTTTCTGAGTAATTGTTATGAAAAAGCCTCCATCAGGCAACATCAAAGATGAGGGCAAGTTTACACATCAGGTTTCGCATTCACTCACAATGATAAAATAGAAACAGAAGGTAAAGAGATCTAGAGGACTTAAAAACCAGACAGGAAGTTGGTTTTGAGATAATAACCTATGTTTTCAAAATAATCTAGATTTGCTAGTGAAGCTCTAAGCGTTTAAGAGTTTCATGAAATATTTTGGCCCACATTTAAAATTTATTTAACTCTCTTGTCTGATGTCAACTGACTTCATAATTAGATTGCCCACTTGAGGTCATAAGATGGCTATGGATGCTATGAATATTATATTCCCATAGCTTTAGAGCCAATAGAAAGAATAATGCATAATTAATAGTCACTTACAACACCCAACTTTCCCTAAGATTGAGTGGCGTACACTGAAACAATAATGGAGATCAGAGGCTTGATGCTAATTGTTAGTTAGCTTTTGCATTTCACCAAGGAAGATGAAAAGGGAGGGGAAATACTTCTCTCTGAATCCTAGCATGTGAAATTGGATCAGCTAATTAAATGTTTCACCGAAGACTTGCCTCATAAGATAACTTGTTCACAAGGGAGTTAGGATGTGAACATCTTTGAGTGCCATTTACCTTGTCCTCCACAACCTTCAGTTCCTGGTGGGAGGAATGTGGAACTCTTCTGTGGCCTACATCTCCCCTGGGCAAATTCTTTGAGCGCAGACCTGATGATGGTGTGTTTTTCTCTGGTGACACTCTTGGTCTAAAAGCTTAGTGCTCTGCAGAAGGGAAGGTGGCAGCATCAGGTTGATTGTCCATATTAACAGTTTATTTCTACAGATATTTTAATGGCATGCTAACAGCAGCTGTATTGGAGATATTGTACATACACAATTCAGAACTGGAAATGTTCTGACAGACTGTACCAAATATGCTTTATGTCTTTTTTTCCTCTCCATCTTTTCATCTGAGCCATATACAGTACATATTCATTAAAGAAATTTAAGATTGTAATTATATTGTTTCAAGGACATATTTTTTTTTCCAAATTTCTTTTTTTCCAACAAATGTCTACTGAGCTCCTCTTTCGTGCCAGGCATTCTTCTAGGATCTCAAAATATATAAATGGACAAAACTAAGAAGAGGTGCTGTCCACATGGAGTGGCATTATGGTGGAGAAAAGTCAGACTGCGAATGTACAAATTATATATGTAATGAGTGATCATAAGTGGTAGTGAGAAAAATAAACAGTGAAGGGTATTTTGCCATGCCAAAGGAGGGACTGTGTTTAAATAGTCAGGGAATGTCTTGGCTAATCCATGTAAAATTCTGTTTTAATTTTGAGAATTAAATCATCTAAAATTTCACATTCTCTTAGATAACTGTAATTCTCCATCTTTTCAGTTGTTAAATGCCTTCTTGGCAGTATAATTATTCTTTTTTAAATAAAACAAATGACAGATTAATAGGGCTCTAATTTCTGTATAAGAAATTAAAATAACTTACTGGTTTAAACAGGTTGTAGAAAAGCAAAACATTAATAGCTTTCTACCTTTTTGTTGTTGTTTTTTTTTTTACTTCATGACATGAAGGCCATGAGTAAGGAAAAGGAAGGCAGGGGTAGTTACTGTTTTCTTTTATAATTTCAAAAGTGGGTAGAGAGCCATCTAAAGAATATTGATCGGAAGAGAGATAATCAACTTATCTAAATCCAAATTTCCTAAAATAGCGTAAAAAGCCGATACCTATGACCCGAAAAAATAAACACAAAATTCACATCAATTGAGCACGACTAAGAGCCAGAAAACACAAAAACTTCAAATTACCTGTAAATAGAAAAATAACAACAAATTTCTAGTGTAGTCATTTCTAACTAATTTTTTGGAAGCTGTAGGGGTTTTAGAGAAACTGAGGACTTCTGCAGAAAGTAAAAGACCACACAGATTGTGAAAATCCTAAAAAGGAGTCCCAGTAGATCAGGTGCCGGGTACAAGAAAAAGACTTAAAAATGCATTTTGGACTCTTACTCTTAAGAGTCAGTGTTGGTAAGGCAACACTCTCAATTGAAAAGGAGGGAGAGAAGGAAGAAGCACATCTGGAACCTGTGCAGTGAAGGGAAAAAAGAAGCAAGTATATGCATGTAAAGTAGGGAGGGTGTTGATGTATGTTAGGCAAAACGACATTTTTTTTTTTTTGATGCTATTTTTTTTTTTATTAGTTAAGGTATTACAAGTGTGTCCTCATCCCCCCCATTAATCCCCAACCTCCCCCCCACACACACTCATGCTCCCATCCCCCCTGTTGTCCATGTCCATTGGTATGGCTTATATACATGTATACAAGTCCTTCGGTTGATCTCTTCCCCTTACCCCCGCCCTCCCCTACTTTCCTTCTGGGGATTGATAGCCTGATTGCTGTTTCTCAGTCTTTGAGTCTGTCCCTTTTCATCAGTCTATGTTGTTCTCTATAATCCACAAATGAGTGAGATCATGTGGTATTTATCTTTCTCTGACTGGCTTATTTCACTTAGCATAATGCTCTCCAGTTCCATCCATGCTGTTGCAAAAGGCAAGAGTTCCTTTTTTTTTTACCGCAGCATAGTATTCCATTGTGTATATGTACCACAGTTTTCTAATCCACTCATCTGCTGATGGGCACTTAGGCTGTTTCCAAATCTTAGCTATGGTGAATTGTGCTGCTATGAACATAGGGGTGCATATATCCTTTCTGATTGGCGTTTCTGGTTTCTTGGGATATATTCCTAGTAGTGGGATCACTGGAATAAACAAATGGGACTACATCAAAATAAAAAGCTTTTGCACAGCAAAGGAAACCATCAACAAAACAACAAGAAGACCCACTACATGGGAGAACATATTTGCCAATGATACCACCGATAAGGGTTTAATTTCCAACATTTACAGGGATCTCATGAAACTTAACAAAAGGAAGATAAACAATCCTATAAAAAAATGGGCAACGGACCTAGATAGACACTTTTTGAAAGAGGACATACAGAAGGCCGAAAGACATATGAAAACCTGCTCAAAGTCACTAATTATACGAGAGATGCAAATCAAAACGACAATGCGTTATCATCTCACACCTGTCAGAATGGCTATCATCAACAAATCAACAAACAACAAGTGTTGGAGAGGATGTGGAGAAAAAGGAACCCTTCTGCACTGCTGGTGGGAATGCAGACTGGTGCAGCCACTGTGGAGAACAGTATGGAGCTACCTCAGAAGACTAAAAATGGAACTCCCATTTGACCCAGGCAAAATGACATTTAAAAAACACCGTCCAAGCTTCCTCTCTCTCTCAAATCCATTTGAGAGGCTGCATTACAATATCCTAACAGAAGAAGACACTCTCGAGCTAGGAATCTAACTAACTACCTAACCACAGTACCAGTCCACTAAAAGATATGTTCACCTACTTTAAGATATCATAGGAGGAATACAGGAAAGGAGAATCAAAACGTTTAAGCTGATGCAAATTTTCTCCCATAAAAACCAACCATGAAACATAAGGAAACCAAGACAATACTCCAAACTGATATAAATATCCCAAAAGACAACATTTGTACACAAACCAAAAATTCACAAGAAGCAAAAGTAAAGTGTAAACAATTGTTCTTTTTCACTCACCTATTTTTATAGATAATTTTGTTATCTAAATAATGGAATGCCTAGCTACAAGCTTCTTTCTAGGGGCATTCTTTATTTTAGTCTCTTTCAATGTTAATTTTCTTAGATAAATATCTACTAAATTTAATTTTCATCATCATGTAAGATTTTCCTGAAAATATACAATGTTAAATTACTTCCTACATCAATACATTTCACTTTTGGATTTTATTTATATACTAGTGGCCCGGTGCACAATGAGATGAAATTGATTAGAAGAAATATTTTAATATCGCTATTTGCCCTTTCTCTATAATAGAAGTGTCAAGCAAATTCATGATCGACAATGACAGATGGAAACACATGCGTGTGATTGGTGCCAGTGAGAGCTTTATATGTAACGTGC